GGCAGGTTCTGGAGCTGTGCTTTGCTGTGCATAAACTGTTGTGGCTTTAGCACTTCTTCCAGATTGGAGCCTTGGACCCCAGCATGGGACAGTCTGGAGTAGCAGCTGGCACCTTTCAGAGCTGGAGTCTAGGGTGCTGAGATCTCTGGGTTCCTGTGTGACCCTCGCTCTGACTGCCCAACCCCTAGGCTTTCTCAGGCCAGAGGCTCCACTGGTCTCAGACTACTGAGTAACCTGGAAGTAGTCTTTCTTTCTAAAGCCTAGAGCGACCCTAGCTGGTATCTGTCTCCCAGAGGGAAGTTTCCCCCTTTTCCCTGAGAGCAACTGAGAGCCAAGGAAGCCCTTAAGGTCCTTGTCCCAGCTTTCTAACCCTCCCTATCTTGTGATTGTTTAGAGTCCCACCCTTGACCTGTTGACAGCCCATCAAAGAGGGTTGTCATGTTTTTCTGAAGGGGCACCATGTTCCTCCCTGGTGACATTTCGCAGGATGCACATTCTCCACATCTTCCTTGTGATCAGGGCAGAGGACGGGGATTCAGTCTGGATAGACCTGGAGGACCTCTGGCTGGGAGAGACAGGGGCTCCAAGCAGCCTTCTCTCTGGCCCTCACTGGAGGCCTGGTTGTCCAGGATGAGAGGAGGGGGAGGGCAGGAGAAGAGGAGGAGGAGGGAGGTCTTCTCAACACTTGGGCTGTTTTCTGAGAAGGCTGAAGTCCCTGGAGCCCACTATGAGGGCCCTTCCTGGCTATTCCGGGAACAGCCTGCCTGTCAGTACCGTCCTGAAACTGCTGTTGCTTCAGAAACCTGGCCTTTGGGGGATTGCATTTGCAGAGGTGGGGGAGGCGCTGGGAGGAGACAAGTTGTCACAGAGCTTCAGGCACCAGTGTTCACAGTTGGTGTGAGGAAGAGGCCACTGCTTATTCCTGTGTTACTGATGAGGAAACTGAGGTACAGAGAAGTGAAATAATTTGCCCCAGCAGCCAAAGGAGCCGGAATTTGAACCAGAACTGCTGGGCTGTGGAGCTCCCTACTGCCTGGGCATGGCAGAATGTGGGTGGTAGTGAAAGGGCGTGGGGAGTGAGAAGAGGGAAAGACTGACTTGAGCTCAACTTGGGCCAAGCTGAAGGTTTGGTTGGCACAGGAGGAGGCCAGAGGCCAGGCCAGGCTTGGTTTGCTTGGGACCTAGTGGTTCCTGAGATAAGACTGCAGTAGGGAGAGGCCTACCCCTTCTTTTCCTGCTTCTGATGAGGAATTGCATATGGACATGGGGCCACTGGTTGGCAGGGCCCTTTGCTGGAAAAGGATGTTTGGTTTCCCAGCTTTCTAGAGTCCCTGGGTGTTGCAAATGATTAAGCACTCAACTACTAACTGAAAGGTTAGCAGTTCAAACCCACCCCAGAGGCACCTTGGAAGAAAGGCCTAGTGATCTTTTTCTGTAGGATCACAGCCGTGAAAACCCTATAGGACACAGTCCTACTCTGCACACATGGCATCTCCATGAGTCAGAATCAACTAGAAGGCACCTGGTTTGCTATTTTTGGTTTTAGGCCCCTGAAGTCAGTTGCCTCCCCCTCTGTCTTTTCCCTATGAGGGTTCCAGGCAGTTCCTGAGTGCTTGCTCTGTACTGAGTGCTGGGCATTGTGCATGAGACCTGGGTCCTGCCCTTAGTGGGCCCTCAGTCTCTGTGGCAAGGCCAAAAGATGTTCATTAGGGGATCATACTGTGAGGCAGGAAAGGGAGAGTGATACTGAAGACAGTCTGAAGAGTACCCTCAAGGGCAAGGGTTGGCTGAGAGAGTGGGCTGGGGACCCCTTCTAGAGGTTCTCCTCCAAGCATGCCACATCTTCTGTAGGCCACGCCAAGGCCATTCTCCTTATTTGGCCATCCATTCAACACATTTTACTAAACACAGCTTCACCTCACCAGGCATTGCACTGGGTTGGCAAAAACACAGTCATTATTCTTATAAGGTGGTGAAGATAGATAACAAATGAACTGGAAGTGAGAATGGGGATCCTTTAAAGAATCAAGTTTCTCCTGGGGTGTGGGAGCTTCCCTAAAAAGGTGACTTTGGGGTTGAGGTCTGGGCTGAGGTGTGGGTGGGAGGCAGGGGATTATTGTTGGCAGAGGGGGGTAGCTTGATGGTCTGGGCCAAAGCAGGCACGACTTGAATTTTGATGGTGCCTGAGGCACTTGACTGCTAACCAGAAGGCTGGCAGTTCAAACCAACCAGCCAGCCACTCCTTGGAAGGAAGGTTGGACAATCTACTTCCATAGTGATACTGCCTTGGAAACCCACGGAGGGGTTGCTGTGAGTCGGGGCTGACTCGATGGCACACAACAACAGCAAGGGCAGTGGAGTTGAAGGGAAGGACAGAGAGGGCTCCTGCAAGTACAGGTCAGAGTGCTTTGTGAAAAGAAACCCTGTGAGACTTTGTTCACCAGCTGCTGGTTAAGAGTTTTGCTCAGGAAGTGTCCTGGGTGATAGGGGGATCTTGTGAACATTGGGTTGTGCCTCCCCCATAGCTGGAGGTATGGCTGGAATGGCCTCTGTGCAAGGTAAGAAGGGGACTTGGAACCCTTGTGCTTGGCCACTTGTCAAGTGCTCTGAGTCCACAGCTTCAGGAGGTGGCTAGCACAGGTGGCGTAAGAGTGGTGGCTGCTTTCCAAGGGCCAGCTTCCTGGGGACAAGTCCAACATTCCAGGGCTGAGGGGTTCCCCTCTTGCGATTGACCCCAGAGGTGCCCCTTGCTTGTACCCTGGACTGAGAGGCCTGGAAGCTAGACCCTCGGGAGGGTGACTAGCCTGGGGCTGTTCCTGCCCTGGCTGCTCCTGTCTTGCCCTTCTGTACACCTCACACCTCATTAGGGCCCCTTGTACTAAGGGACTCCTGCTACCCTTCACCCTGTCCACAAAGCAGACCTTGGCTCTGGGTAGGCAACTGTGGCGTTGGGAAGTGAAGAGTGAGGTGCAGCCATGTATCTCCAGATACTACAGTCTGTATTTCTGAAAGATAAGAATATGTTTTCCTACATAATACATTCTATTATCTCAACCAACTGAACCAACTCTTCTTTCCTAAATTATCCAATATCTAGTCCTATTCACATTTCCCAATTATCCTCCAAATATCTTTTCTTATAGATAGTTTTTTTTTAGAACTCTCTCCTCCATTTCTTCTTATTTTTCTTGCAATTGATGGTGTGGAAAAAACAGGTCAGTTGTCCTGTAATTAGCCTGCCTTCTTGGTCTCCTAAATGTATTAGTCTAGAATTGGGGTTGTCATTCTTTTTCTGTGAAGGGCCAGATAGTAAATATTTTAGGCTTTGTAGGCTACATGGTCTCTGTCTCAACTACTCAGTGTCATTTTACTTTAGCACAAAAGCAGCTGGAGACAATACATAAACAAATGAATATATGACTGTGTCCCAATAAAACTTTATTAAAAAGAAACAACAGGTGGCAGACCTGCAGAAAGAAACTTGCCAATCGCCATTCTAGAACAAACCTCTCCCCACCTTATTTTCCTTCTTGCAGTTTGAAAAAAGCATCCGATCAGTTGTCCTGTAGAATATTCTGCCTGGTGGGTTTGCCTCATTGCTTTCTCACGGAGTCATTTAATTTGTTCCACTGTCCTCTATATTTCTGTCTGTCTTATTCAGACAGGACGTTGGAGCTAGAGGCTTCATTAGACCGAGGTTAAGCATTTTGGCCTGATTCCCTTGTCAGTGATGCTGTGATTCCGGGCCACACCACAGATGAAGGCATCAGTGTGTCCATTCGTCCCACTGCAAGTGGAGCTGAGATTGATCCTTCCTGATCTCTCTGTTGTAAACTTTTTCCTTCCCTTAGGAACCTCAGGCCCTCTGTGAGAATCCACTCAGCAGTTGACCCACCAACAGACTGACCATTCATTCCCAGGCTCCCTTGGCCTTCAGCAGAAGCTGCCTTAGGGATGGTAGAATGACTTTGCATTTATCATTCCTTTGTTATTTAGTAGGGAGAACTCAGTGAAGAAGGTCTTTGCCTCCCCTCAGCCACTCCCATTAGGCTTTGTAGCCTAAAAGCCAGGGGTGAGTTGGTTACAGGAAAGACCAAGAGGCAGTGGAATCATTTCTCTTTAATTGTGTTTTCAGAGTGGAGAGTTAGGGCATTGCTACCATCAGTGGTGACAAATGAGGCTTCGTGTTTGTTTGTTTTACTTTCTCTCTTTTTTTAAATACTGTGAATATGCTGATTTCATGTATTCCATCTGGTTCCATCATTTGCACTTGTTACTCTTTTTGATGCTTACATGGTCCCAGCTCAGCCCATCAGAGCCCAGGCTGCTGCTCACACAGGCCTCCTGGCCGCCCCCCCCCCAACCTGCAGGGGCACTGAGACATCTGTTCTGTATATGGCCCTGATTGCCAGGAGGGAAAGCTCCAAGAACATGCCGTATCTTGTGTGTCCCCCATTTGTGCCCTCCCACCAACCATCCTGACTCTGACCTGGACCCAGCTGTGCTAGGTGTGTGACCTGAATGACATGACCTCTGGCTCTGGGATGGTATAGCCTATATGTCTGGGCTGTGCTAGCCCTTGGGGTCATCAGTGTTAGAAAGTGATCAATGAAGTCCCCTCCTTTGCAGGTTGCCTGCCCTGCTGCTTTTGGGCAGGCTGGGACACAGGAGTCCTGTGCTAGCTCTTTGGCACCCAGAAGTTGCTACTCAGCACATGTTGGCAGGCTCTAGTCAACAAGCTGTCAAACAGGGGTGAAGGCTTTTGGTGAATTCTGGGATCAGGTTGGAGGAGAGGAGGGGGGAGGGTATGGGCTCCTGAGAGCAGCAAGGATTTGGTCTAAAGGAAGGTCCTCTGTTCTCCCAAACCCTGAACCCTGACCCCTGATCCCCCTTTTCCTTCAGGCTCCTTCTCGTGTCCCTGGAGCATGGGAGGCTGCTGAGTTTGAGCAGTGGTGACTGGCAGGAACTGTGTGTCTCGTCCTGTGGCAGGGAGGGCGTCCATGGCTGCAGCCAACAAGGGTGAGTGTCCTCCTGTCCTGGCAGGAGTTTACATGAGGACTTCCAGCAGGCTTGGTGGGAGGGGACGTTGTTTCATGTGGGGACTGTGTCGGCTGTGTGTGTGTCTGAATGTGAGTGTGAATGTGCCAATGTTTGTGCCAGGTTCCACCTGGGGCTGACCCAAGCCCTGGCTGGCAGGGAACCCTGGGGACCCCTGCTGGCTCATTTGTACACTGGTCTTTGTCCGCTTGTCCCAATGTTCCAAGCCCGTCTGTCCCACCAGGGGGATGAGGGACATGAAGAGCCCGTGGTGAGTGCTGAGGCTGGCGAGGTGGGCCAGGCCACAGCAGGCTGTGGAAGTCAGTATGGATTTCATTCAAGAGTCCAGAAGGCTAGTGGAGAGGTTTATGCAGGGGAGACCTGGTAAGATTTGAGCTTTAGGTCTGTGGGGCTCAGCAGATTGATTGTGAAACTGCCAGGCTGGCCCCTTGGATCCAAGAACCCAGGCCAAAGTTGGCCTGGGCCCTCCCACTAAAAGGACTCTGGGCAGTGCTCTTGGGAAGCCTAGGGCTAAGGGGGCCACCCTGGCCCAGCCCACCATAGCCTAGGCCCTCAGCCCATCTCTCCTCCACCCTTCCTGGCCTTGGAGAAGCTGACTTAGATCAGGGGCTGCCAAGGGCTTTGAGGGGGAGTTGAGCAGAAGGGTATCTCTGGGAGGGGTCTTCCCTAGGGGAGAGGTCTGGGTCTTTCCTTCTTACTTGCTAGTGATCAGTGATGCAGTTTAGTGACAGCTGTCGTCTCTCCTAGGTGGATGAGTGTGTGAAAACTCTTTGTTTCTCTCATCCCCAAGCAGATCCCTTAGAGCCTGGTCCTGCCTCTGCCCTTGTCCCTGAGACTGGGGTCATTAGGAGAGGCAAGCAGGGGCCTTATGCACCTCGGAGAGAAAGTCCCAGTGCTGGGAAGCTTGGCACTTTGAGAAAAAGAGCACTGGGTTAGGAATCCAGAGACCTGGGATGGAGTCCCCACATGCCTGGGATTTGGTTGGAGTCTAGAGGATGGTCCCTTTCTGGCTTCAGCTTTGTCCTCTCTAAGTGAGAGGTCATATAAACCAATCCTTGAACCTCTTCCTCCCACCTACTCTCAGGGTGGGCAGTTTTTGTGGGAGGACTAGGTAGGTAGGGGTTGGGTGGAAGGCCTCCAAATCTCATGATTCCCAGGGCCCAGTAGGGAGGTGGCCTAGTCCTGACAGGACTAGGCAGCCAGTGGGTGCTGGGTGCTATCAAGGGCAGTTGGGGGCTGGTGGTGAAAGGGAGTAGTTTCTGGGGGACAGCTGAAGGCAGCAACTCCTGGAGCCCTCTTCCATGCTCCTAGGCAACAAGCCCAGAGTCCGAAGTATCCGCTTTGCGGCAGGCCATGATGCAGAAGGTTCCCACAGCCATGTCCACTTTGATGAGAAGCTGCACGATTCGGTGGTCATGGTCAGCCAGGAGAGCGACAGCAGTTTTCTTGTCAAGGTATGTATACCTCCCCCATCATCAGCCTTACTCCCGCCACCTCCTCCAAGATCTGCCTGGGCCAGGTCCCCTGGGCCTGGTCTGTCCCATTTCCTCTAGGCTGGGTTCATAGGTACACATTTGCCTCTTCCTGGGCCTTGGCTTCCCTGTCTGCAAGGTGGGTGGTGGTGAGGTTTCAAAGAGATGAGAGCGTTTAGCATGGTACTCACATCGAGGGGAGCAGAGCTGTTGTCATCAACATCATCTGGGCAACAGCAATGGAAGGCGAGTATCTAGGCCATGGTGCCACAGGCCTGGGTTCAGGTTGGCTGATGTGGGCTCTTTGTATTAGTGTTTATCACCCCTAAGTTTTCTGCTTGGTGGAGCAAGCAATCACTTGTCCTAAAGGCCACACATGACTCACCCTCACACATTCCAGTGTGGCTCCTCCAACTTCTGGGACACTGTTGGATCCCACATCCGCTTGGAAGGGGCAGGAGTGAGTCTCTGGAGGGGACTGTTGGGGTTTAAATGGAGAGGGAACCCTCTGGGTCAGTAAGCCACAGGCCCAGAGTTGAGCAGAGTCCAGGGGTGGGGAGAATCTGTCCATCAAGATGGCCCTGAGGTAGGAGAGGTTTGCTGCCCTGCTTGGAAAGGAGCTCAGATTTGTACCCATTTCTGTCCAAATCTGAAATCCTTGTTCTTTTTCCTACAGCTGACACGTCCCCAAGGGAATATATGAAATGAACCAAAACTTTTAAAAATAGCTTTCCCCCTGATTGCAAAATCCATTTATGTCTATTAGAGAAAATTTAGAACACACAGAAAAATATAAAGAAATTTAAAAAGTACCCACAGTCATGCTATCTAGAAATAACTGCAGCTAATATTTTGATGTATGTCATTCCAGCTTTCTTTCAATGAATATACAGAACTGTACATGCTTTAAAAAACCAAAAACCAGCTTGCAAAAAGGGCATGGAGGCGGTATCCTCTGACCTCCTCTAACTTCACGAGAAGAAGACAGAATCACCATCAGCAGCCAAGGCTTATTCCTATGAGGCCAGACATACCACCAGCCTCTAGCCTTTTACCAATTCTGACACCAGCCGTCCCTCCCATGGCACTCACTACTTCTCTGCTGGGTTTGATACAGACAACACTTATTATTATGGGGTTCATTAGGGAAGTAACAGGCTACAATTCAGGTTCAGGAATGCACTCAGGGTACAGTTCTTTGATCAGGATATTCTGCCCTCTGCTGTGCCCTCAGACACGCCTCTCTGGCCCTTGGCGCCTCGGCCTGGCCTCTGCCCTACTTGGACAAATGTAACAAAGTTCTTTTAGCTCTGCTGGTAGGTACACTGAGGTGCACCCCACTCCGTCAGCAAGTTTCTGCCCAAGAGCACTTGGCTTTCTTGCTCTGTGGGCCAGGTAAGCCCCTGCTCTGTCTCGTGCCTCTTGGTTCCACTGCAGCTCTCTCTCTGACTGCTGTCTCTCTCTGAAAGGGGGTCTCTCTGACTGCTGTCTCTCTCTGAAGGGGGGGTCTCTCTGACTGCTGTCTCTCTCTGAAGGGGGGTCTCTCTGACAGGCGTTTCTGCCAAGGAAGTCCAGTGCAGGGATCTTGGGTCCAAGGACGCACTTACTTTACCTCCAGCTTTTCTCTCGATGACAATGAGAGCCCCTTCTCTGTCCCTAGGAAGGCTCATTTTAACCCTGGCAGAGTGGCAAAACTAAGCAATATCAGAGTTCTGCACACCTTATTTGCATGGTCCCACCCAAGAATCCAGTGGGAGTTACAAAGACTATGTCTAGAAAAGGCATACCAAGTAATTCACTGCACCGAATAGCCTCGTGGTGTGTACGCCATGTTTGGCTTGTTTCTGTTGTGAACCATTTCCCATCTGCATCAGTGAATACTTTTCCATGAGATTTTACAACTGCCTGGTATTCTGTTATATGTATCATCATTGATTTAGCTGGTTCCCTACTCCTGGGTGTTACGATTGTTTCTATTTTTCTCTGTTATAAATAGGGCAGTGATGAATATTTGTTTGCACGTCTGAGTATTTTCCTTGGAAAATTCTGCAAGTGGCGTAGCTGGGTTATAGGGTGAACACTGTTGGCAGGTACAAACAGGAAGCCCTTTTGAGAGGTGTGCCTTCCACTGGCGTCTATGGGACCCACGGGGACTGAATCCAGCCCCTGAGCTGTGAGCAGGACAGGTGTGTGTGGACCCCATGCCTCGTGGACTAGCTCTCTGGTCAACCTCCCCACTCAACAGCCACTACTGGCTTATAACCTTCATATGACTGGAGTTTCTAAGGATGGCATCTGTCCCAGAGGGCATCAGTTGCCAAGCACTGTATATGAACAACAGAAGTGGCTTGGGCCATGAGTAGAGGCCTTTGGGCACAGTGAGCCTTTGAGTGAGTGGGCAAGCATCCATGTTCAGGTGCCAGCAGGACAGGCAGGAGTCTGAGTTGATGGCTGGCACCAGGCCCATGGAGTAGCTCTGGACTGGTAACAGCTGGTCTAATATTTTTCTAATTACATCTCGTCCCTCATCCCATGCTGTCTGTGTTGTCTGATTTCTCCCTGAGTGACTGGAGAACCAGTGTCCCTGACTCAGGGCTATGGGCTCTGGCAGGCACTGGTTTGTGTGTGGGGGCAGGTGAATGACTTGTGTCATGGGACTTTTGGCAGTGGCTGGTGCCTTGCTGTATGCCATGACAAGCATGAGTGGCCAATAGGTCAAAGGAGAACTCTACCCTGTCATGCTGAGTGGCCTCTAGCCAGTTGTCTCCTGGCTTCTGGTTTGTCATCTGTAAGATGGGCCACTGAGGAACTGTGAGCCTGTGAGAAGTGGATGCCGAGGAGTGTACAGGCTGAGCTGTGGGGATGACGCCCTCAGGGGAAGGGGGTTCTGGAGCTGTAGGGCTGGGGTGATGGAGGGAGTAGCTCCCTTGGGATCTCCAGGGAAGCAGGTGCTTGGGCCCACGAGGATCATAGGTGGGTGGGCCCTGGGGGAGGCAGCAAGTGAAAGTACCTCCCTCCTCCAACCCTCCTGCTGCAGGTTGGCTTCCTGAAGATCCTGCACAGGTATGAGATTACCTTTACCCTGCCTCCGGTGCGCAGGCTGAGCAAGGATGTCCGTGAGGCACCTGTCCCCAGCCTGCACCTCAAGCTCCTCAGCGTCATGCCCATCCCAGAAGGTGCGACCCCTCCCTGAGGTGCTAGAGTGCTGCCCTTCTCTAGCAGGGCTGGGGGGGGAGTGGGAGTGAGAACGCGGGGCACTCTCCCCCATCTAGGGTGGATGAGTCGCTCAGCATTGGACATCTTTATGCCCTCTCAGTGTGGCATCCTGGCAGGTCCCATGCCCAGGCCTGCGTCACTCCTTGGACAGAAGTCAAAAGGCTCACACTGTAGGCCTGCCTCTGTCCATCCTGTGCTGAGGAGCTGGCATTGGCCTCCAGCTCACCCTGCTGCCTTGCCCCTGAAGAAACACCTTCTGGAAGCTTGGGCATTTGGGGCAGCTGCCTCCTACACCTGCGCCAGCCCTGTCCTTGGGCTTGGGGCTGCTTCCTCCTACCCTGTGGACCTTGGTCCCTGCATCCCCACTCCTTGAATTCCTGCAGTCTGGCAGAGGCCACGGTGTCAGCTTGGCAGTGTGCCACCTGGTGCAGCCCCAGCTTCTATTTCATGGCCCCTGCCCCTTCCTCATGACTTTGCCCTTGTCCTTCAGTAGATTGAGCAAGACTCCTTAGGCCTCTGTCTCTGCCTCCTGATTCAATCAAGGGCTGCTCAGGAGCCCGGCCTTCTTCCCTGTCACCCCCACTTCCTTTTTTGCAGAGGGAGGAAGCATTGGGTTCTCTGAGTTTGGTCTGCTTCACCCTTGGAGCCATACTTGGGTGGCAGATGGACCCCACTGATGGATGAGAAGTTCCCCAGGGTGTCCTCTGGGGCTCCCAAGGGGCCATCTTTACTATGTTTGAGGAGGTTTGAGCATGTCTTGGTAGTGGTGGTGGGGGCCAGTAAGTGCTGGTGGCAGAAGGCCATGGGAGGTGCTGATTGCCCACCCCCACCCCTGGGCAGGTTATAGCATCAAGTGTGAGTACTCAGCACACAAGGAGGGCGTCCTTAAGGAGGAGATGCTGCTAGCCTGCGAGGGCGGCACTGGCGCCTACGTGCGTGTGATGGTGCAGGCGCGAGTCATGGGTGAGAATGGGTACCTGGCAGACCACAGGGTGGTGGGGGTGGGTCTGGTTACAGGAGGAAGAGGCAAGCTTTATGAGAGGGGCTTCCACCCTCCTCCCTCTATTCAAAAAAGGGATCCTTGCCCAAGCCTGGGGTTCTGAACTTCCTTGGTGTGTTTCCCCCACCGCCATGGCTACATGGGCTACAGGGGTACAGCACAGTGACCTGCCTCCCCTCCTGGGCCTTGTAGATCGGCACCATGGCACACCCATGCTGCTGGATGGTGTCAAGTGCGTGGGCGCCGAGCTGGAATACGACTCAGAGCACAGCGACTGGCACGGCTTCGACTGAGGCCTGCGCCCCCGCCTGCCACGGGGCCCCTCAGCCTTAAATCCCACCTCGTCTCCCCTACGTGCTGTGTGATGGTGTGGCTTCCTCGCCCCTCCCTAGGGTGGGCGTGGGGCAGAGTGTTCAGGGGCCTTCAAGCTGGGGGCTTGCCTACACTTCTCACCTCCGCCTTTGTTTGTGCCACCGCCAGGCCTCTCCTGTGGCCACCTCTCCTACTTCCTCCTCTCTTTGTGCCTCAGTCTCCTGCTGGAAGAAATGGATTGAGCCCCCAAGGAGGCTATCTGAGGAGGGGAGGGAGAGGGCTAGGGGTGGGTTGTCTCCATCCCCACCCCAAGCCATAGGGGCTTCAGGCAGGGCTGGGGAAAGGAGGGAGCTGGCTGTGGGATGCCACTGCACCTAGTACTGCTGCCGCTGTCTCGCTTAGCCGCCTCTCCCACCCCTCCCTCTTCCCCACTGCTACCCACGGTGAGTGGGAGGGAGGTGCAGTCCTCAACCCCTACCCTACAGGTCTGTGTTACTTGGTTTTTAAATGATTGGTTGGGATAAAACCCCAAAGAAATAAAACTTAAGGTGGATACCAGAAGCCAGCAGGACTTTTGTTTTCCAGGACCCTGAGAATGCCCAACCCTTCACAGGTGGGCCAAGGAACAGAATGGGGCAAACTCATTCTCTGAGATTAGGGCACTGCATAAGTATTACATCACTTGTCTCCAAAGGAGGTGTGCACAGGTGATGTCATGTCTGGTCTGGCAATAGTTGCCAAGACAGTTACAGGACCTGGATGGGAAAGGGCCTTCTACCCCAGACCGGTGCTTGTTAGGTGCTGTTGGGTCTGTTTAGACTCCTACTGACCCCATGTGACAGAGCAGAACTGCCCCATAGGGTTTTCTAGGCTATAATCTTTATGGGGGCAGATCATCGGGTCTTTCTCCTGTGGAGCCACTGAGTGGTTTGGAACACCTACCTTTCGATAGCAGCTGAGCTTAATGTTGAACCACCAGGTTTGAGAGGTCCCAGCTGGGACAGGGAAATGTCAGTTCCTAGTCCTGGGTACAGCGGAAAGCTTTCTCCCTTCTCTGCAGAACCCAGGCCCCTCTACTACTGCACTGCTGGCTTCCCTAGCCATGTGTCAGCAGAGTGGGGCTTTACCTTGAGCATGAATGCTTTATTGTCACATTAGGGTCCTCAGGCAGATGGGGCTGTTGCATGTCACAGTTGGAGGGAGGTACCGGACATTTCACACTTGGGGAAACTGAGGTACGTGGGTGGGTGGGATATCCTAAAACCACACTGAGTTGATGGAAGAGCTGGGACCAGCCCCCCCCCCCAGTGCCCCTTATGTCTCCCCTACTCCCACCTGAACTGCCCTTCCATCTTTGAGGGAAGGTGTAAGTGGGACAGTCACAGGTTGGCCCTTGAAGCCTTACCATATGGGTCATTTGTCCTGAAGGAAAGGCCTCCCCCAACATACTCCCACGTCCCCCCATAACTGTCCACTCTAATAATGTATCCCTGCCCCACTTAGCCAGCTACTTGTCTATGATTAACAGTCATATTTGGGTCAGTATCACCCCTAGGAAGGTCCTACTACCCTAGTCCTTCTAGTGTCTGCTTTCAGTCACTTCCCACCACACACAGGGTTGCTGTGCGGGGCTTCCTGCATGGGCTGACGCCAGCCAGGAGTGAACTCTGGCCCTTCAGGTGAAGAACCCCCTTCCTCCTGCTGCTCTCCCTGCAGCCTGCGTTGCTAGGCCTCCCCGTCCCACCCCCACCGTCAGTTCAGGTCAGAGCTCAGTATTCAGTATTCTGGTCCTTTCTTCTTTTGGCATCACACATCCTGGCAGGTTACACATTTCTGTTGGATTCGGAGCGCTGTCTTGCAAACCTCTAAGTCTCCTTTACCTGCCCCAGCTCTAGGCCGGGCTTCTGTCTTAGAGCCTTCCAATCGGCCGCCCAGCGCCCAACCCCAAAGCAGTGTCTCTGGATGTGTCCCCACCCACCCTCCTATGGCCTCATCTCTCCCTGGGCAGGGAGCAGGGGCAGGGGTGGCCACAAGAAGAAGCAGATTGGGCTGCCCCAGCCCCCTCCTTAGACTCCGGGACCAAAAGAGGGTGTCCGGCGGGTCTGAGCACGGTGCGCCACGCCGGGCCTTGCGCACCCTCAGTTGGAAAGAAAGTCGATGGCGGCTCGCACGGAGCGATTGGTGCTGACATCTACGGCGGTGACCTTAATCTCCGTGTCACCAAACTGCATGGCGGCGCGGATCTCGCGGCGGCCGGCGAGCGCGCTGGCAGGGTCGGGGCCGCAGTCGGCGGGCTCCAGCTCGAGGCTGAGCGCGCCGCACTTGCGCACTCCCGGGTCAGTGATGAAGCGCGCGTCCTCGGCGGCGCAGCAGTACAGGTTGATGAGCACGCGCCGCTGGCCCGGGCGCGCCGGGCAGTAGCTGCGCCGCACCTCCTCGCCCAGGGCCACCGACTGCTCCGCGGCCACGAAGCGCTCGAAAACGTCGGTGCACCAGCGGCGGCCGTCGCGAACCAGCAGCTTCTCGGGCGGGTGGCGCCCGGCCACAAAGCGGTTGAGCACGCCCACGCCGTAGGTGAGCGGCGAGCGGCGCACTCGCACTACGCCCGGCGCCTGCCCGAAGAGAACGGCGCCCTTGAGGATGGTGAGTCCCACGTCGTGCGGGACGACGACGCGCAGGCCGCGGGCGCCCAGCGCCGCCTGCACCGCGTGCTGTAACACGGCCGACTCGGCAAAGCCACCCACCAGGAACAGCAGCTTCACGCCTTGCACCTCGGGCTGCGCCAGAAGCGCCTCTGTGGGACGAGGGGGTTGGAGGTCGGGGAAGAAGAGGGAAGACGTGAGAGAACGCGGAGGCCACCACTAAACAGCCACTTGCGCCCTTTTGCCCCGCTGCCATCCAGCTTGTGGGTGGGTGGGAATGTAGCCTCCTGGCAAGTAGAAACTAGTAATTTTAATTATAATACAACACCCTGGTTCTAGTGGACAAAACGAAGAGGAAACAATGAGCGCTTCATTGGAGGCCACTACCAGTCCTTACAGGCTCTGCCTTTCCCACACACACCCGCATTTGTCTCCCACCACAACGTGGAGGATGTGCAGAAGGATATACATTTCAAAGTACCAAGCGCATCCTTAACACCATGCTACACACGGTGTTCACTCTCTAGATAGTTCAGTTCAATCCTTGTGATAACATTTTGGGGAACCCAATATGACCGCTCCATTTTATATGGAGGGAAACTGAGGCGCGGAAGGTTCTTTAACCTGGCAAACCCCACATTCCTCCTAGCTCTTAGTCACAGCAGGCAGTGTGTACTCCACGTGTTCCAGATGATTTTGCGTCTTATCCCAGTGTACGTATGTGTGGAGACTTCCAGACCCTGATGGGAATTACTCCCACTTCAGGGAGTGTACATGGGGGTGTATAGGAGACTCAAGAAAACCCTTGGACACTCACCGATGTGCTGGATGATTCCACTGACTGTGGGCTGGAAGAGCTCGTTCATGGCCTCGCAGGACATCCGGAGCATCCCTTGTGAGGACCACTTCACGAAGTTCACGCTGTAGGCAGTCAGGGGGACATAGGCTCACTGACCAGGGCCCAGCTGCCTGTCTAAGCTCGTCTGGGTTCCCAATTGCTCCTTCCAGGCAGATGGTCCTGGACACTGAGTGCACCTTGTGTGTGGAGACGGAGGTGTGTGTGAGCCGGCCCTTTCTCTGCCCCAGATGGGACTGCAGAATCCTGGGGTGGAGCCTGATCCGCTGGGGGCTCACGTCCCTCCCATCTGCCACCGGGGCAGGCAAGATGTGTGTGGGGGTGGGCGAGGGGCACAGATCAAGCGGACACTACCGCCCTCTGGGGTCTACAACCCTCCTTTGCGGGGGCGTTGTCCATTAGCAAACCCTGCCCGAGCCTACCGTTCCCAGGCCCACCTGCTCCGGCGCAGGGCCGTCTCCACGTTGTGGCCTCGCTGCTTGCGATAGAAGTCGATAAAGGAGAAGGGCAGGGAGATGTTGAGCGCACCGGCGCGGTGCGGACCCGCAGTGCGTTTGCGGGCCTCGAAGGCGATGGTTAGATCCACCCAGGCTGCTGGCCGTTGCCTTTTGAAAGTGGTGATGAAGTCCTCGCCAAAGATGCGCCCCAGCAACTGCTCAAAAGCCAGGTCCACGCCCACCGCACCATAGGGGCCGCCTGATGTGGCGCAGGGGGCGGGAGGTGTGTGTCAGTGCCGACCTAGCCGCCAGGGGGCGTCGATGGGGCCGGGGTGGGGCCGCGCTGGGTACCAAGGAAGCTGACTGGCTACTCACCTGACGCCTTGTAGAGCTCCTTGAGGGTGCCATGAGGCTGCTCCAGCTGATGCACTGTCAAGTCCACAGTGCCTCCCCCGCAGTCTGCCACCATATAGCGGTCCCCTGCAGCGGCAAGGGCGGGACATACTCGTGGATACTCACCGCCCAGGGCCTGCCTCGCCCCCTCAGCCCTGCACCGCCTTAAGCCTCGCCCAGTCTCCACCCCTGCCCTAGGTCCCCACGCCCTGCCTGCGGAGGAGGGGTTGTGGAAGGAATTTCAGCTGCTTGCACCTCAGGTCGCCGGCAAAGGAACGCAGGTTGTGGGGGAATAACAGCTCCAGGGCCTTCGCAACTCCGCCGGAGCAGAGTGGAGTTAGATGTGTGGGTGTGGGTGCGGCGGGGTGCAGGTGACTGTGCAAGGATGCTAGGTTAGGTACAGCAGAGCGAGGAGGAAGGGGAGGGGTTTCCAGGGACTGGGGCTGGCTAAGCGAATGTGCCCTTCCTCCCCAATCCGGAAGTGCTGAGTTGCCCCACAAGAGCCAGGAACTACCCTTCCATCCCCCTCGCCACCCACCTGCTTGCATCTCTGCCCACAGCTCTCCGACACCCGACTCCACCAGGAACGTGCGGCTGTGGCGCGACCTTCGCAGTTGTTCCCGGGCTGGGGGTCGGGAGGCAGCGGTAGAGAGAGATGAGACACCCCAGCCACCTTGTTCAATCCTCATCCACTCTCCAGGGCCGCGTACCTGGAGCAGCCTGTGCTTCTGCAACCCCTGTCCCCCTACTGACTGAGAGACGGCAGTGCTGAACCCAGAGGGTACAGAGAAACCCACTGGGGTAACAGCGAGCACTGTTACCACCAGCTGGGGCCGGGGGAGGAAAGGAAGATACACAGCCATCCCTAACGCTGAGGCTCAGGTCAGGGCAAAATCAGGGTTAGGAGGGTTTGGACTAGCTTAGTTGGGGGTGGGGAGGTGCAGGCCCTAGAAGGTCCCAGGAGAGTTCCTTGTCATAGGTGATGGTATCTAGGAGGGTGGCTAACACTGATCACAGGCTCCCCCAGGGCAAGCTCAGTCTCCTCCATACCCTCAGGGCTGGTCCTACCCCTGAGGTCATGCTTCCCTAAAACAAGGTGAAATCTCGGCCCTCAGACTGGGCTTCCCCAGGTCAGGGCTGTGTCTTCCCCACAAGACTGGGCTCCTCCAGGGATGTGTCTCTCCCTCAGACTGAGTGTCCCTGGGCAGGGCTGCATCTCCCCCATTCAGACTGGACTCCCTCAGGGATGTTTCTACCCCCTCAGAATGGGTTCTCCCAGGGTGGGGCTCACATCCCTTTATTCTGGACCTGGCTGTGCTTCCAGCCTCAGTGATCCTCTGACCTCCAAAGGGACCTCCTCCCGGCCTAGCCCTGGGCAGTGCCCCTGGGGATGGCTCACCCTGGCGGAAGCTTGAGTCAATGGAGCGGCGCTCCCCCAGGCGCCCACCACCGCCTGGGGCCCGACCACTCAGGTCCACAAGCTGATGCAGGCGCAGCTTTCGGCAGTAGACAGAGGCGGCCTCAGGCTCCAGTGCAATGAGTAACTGTTCCGCATTCTCTCGGGACACTAGGCCAGCCTAGGGATGGATAGTGGGAAGGGCTGGACAGTGCCATGGGCTGTCACCCCTAAGATGGCACCCCAAAGTGGGAGACCAGGGCCTTTTAGCTCCCACACTCTCCTTACCCTACTTCACCCAAGCTAGGCCTCCCAGACCCCTCCATGCTGCACACATTTGGGGTTGCCTCACACCTACCCTGTGACCAAGCTATGGCCTAGGAAGCCTCACTATGATATGATAGTCCCCAGGGGAGACTCCAGACAAAAGTGTAGGCTAGAGTGCCTCACTCTGTCCCTCTGAGTTGGGCAAGGAGGGAGGGGTTGCAGCACAGTTCCCTGCACTGGTACGAGGCTGGTCAGTGGGGGGCTGTAATGGTCCCACCATCAGTCAGAGATGTGAAGGCCCCATTGGATCACAAAACCCTCTTCCTCCACTAGGCTGGTGTTGGACAGTGGTCACAGGGTTCCCACTCCCAGGAGAACTGAGTTAGGAATCTGGCATAGAAGGAAGGAAACTCTCAACGGTGGAAATCCAGGCACCAAGACGGGCCAGGTTGAGGGACAAAACTACTTGGAATCTGTTATTTCCTGCACCAGGTCAGGGGATCCCTGTGGGAAGTACTTTATGGTTTTGTGGGATTCCCCGGATTCTGACCAGATGGGGGATGGGTGTGGGTGGGTATAGAGACTTCCTGCTCAGAACCAGCCCTTCCTGAGCTGGCAGCAGGAACAGTGTGGGGGGAAGCAGGGAGGGTGGATGGACAGTGTGGGATAAGGGGGGGGTGTTTGTTCTGGCTGGGGACAATCTTGCTTTCAACCTGATCCCAACTGGGCTCAGGGTTAACTCCTTCTAGTGACAAGCATAGGTATCTGCTGACTTGGTTCATTGAGAGTGCCTGGCCAACAGTATGTGTGTGTGTGTGTGTGTGTGTGTGTGTGTGTGTGTGTGGTGGAGGGATGTTTCTGGGGATCCTGGTATCCTCCAGGGGTCATCCACAGGCAGGCCTGCACTCCCTTTTGGAAGTCTTAGGGCCTGTCTTCCAAGGCCACAGGGGCAGATCCAAGCTATGGGTCTTGGGAGGCCATGTCCTCCCTCTGTCCTGAGGAGGGGAGAACCTGGACTTCTTCCCCCTTTTCTAGATTTTGAGCATCTCTTGTGGTTGGAAGACCAGCAAATGTTGGCCAGAATCACCTCCCTTCATCATTCCATAGTTCTACCTCCCCTGCTTAAGAACTTATGATGGGATGGGGTGATTCCTTGAAAATACTGGTGAAATGGATGTTCCTGGTGCCCCGCCCAGCTACTGTGAGTGTTGGTTGCTATTGGCTCACAGCAGAGAAGTTTCCCACCTTCTCCTCTAGCAACCAATGACAGAGTGATATGGACTACAAAAAGCCAGCCCCCTTGCCTTACAAGGGCCTGCTCTGTGGTACAATTCTCTATCTCGGTTCCCCATTATTGGGATCAGGCTGAGGCTAGATTCCAGCTGAGACCACATCCCTACTTAGCTCTTCCTTCTGTCCTATCTTGCTTCCCCCCCCCCCATCTCCTGAGAGCCCTTCTTCAACAGACCACATGCACAGAATCCCCATCTTGGGTTCTGTTTCTAGGGAACTTGAGTTAAGACACTGGGTAAGCTGGCCTGTACTGTGGCCTGTGCCAATCTGCCCTCTGTTCCTGCAGGTCCACCAATTTTGGTGGCAACTCCCAAAATGCCCAGCAGAAGTTTGATCTTTCCACAGTGACTCTGCAATCCCAAGGATGGCAGAGTGGATGGGGGTATGGGTCATCCCTGGGGCTCTCCTGGACAATGCGCTATGTGAACATCCTCACCAGGTAGGCAGCCTCCCGCATGAACTGTTTGGCTGGCTGCTTCCAGATGGCGGGCACCGTCAACACCCAGCGCACAGTGTCCTTCTCTGGCATTGCTGGGCACTGCTCCCTTAGCTCCTGGGGCAAGAGGAAGGAGTGAGGGGGCAAATGGCTGGGGTCGGGAGCCAGTCCTCTGTGGGAGCTGAAGGAACTAATCCAACCTCAGGAAGGATTCAGAATGCCCACCACCTGAATGGCCTGAATAAGGCTCTACAGACAGGAAGGCAAGGACTGGAGAAAATGGTCTCTGGTGGTGGCTACCGTGCAATGGACCGGGTGGGATGAGGGCAGCAGGGGGCGCGGGAAGGAAGGGAGTAGAAAGGCCTGGGGAGTATCCCACCCCAGGCCATCAGGTGTGGGGGCGCAGTGCACCTGAAGGGCGTGCTCCTTGAAGAATCGCAGGGCATGGGCGAAAACCTCCAGGGCGGGCATTTTCTTCCCATTTACAGCCTCTAGTTGGGTCTTCAAGGAGAGATCCTGGCAGGGACACAGGGCGGCTCTTCGGAAGGCCTTAGCTCTGCTCCCATTTCCCGAAGACCCTTCTCTTAAAACCACTCTATTTCCTAGTGCTTCCCCTCCTCTTTAGCACCACTCCCACTCAGGTCCCAATTTCACAAAGGCTCAGTTTCCATCCCCAGTCCCTCCCTAGGCCCGCCGCTCCTTCAACGCTGTCAACTCTTACCTCCGCCCAGCGTAGCTCCGCCCTCGCCCCTTCTCACCTCGGAGCTCGGCTCTTTTGGTTAGCCCCGCCCCCTCCCAACCACGCCTTCCTCAAACCCCCCTCCCTTTGCTCCACCTTCCACTAGCCCCGCCTGCCTGGTTGGAGTCCTTCCCATAACTGGAATGTAACTCACAGTGGCGCTGTGGATCTTCATCTTGAACTTTTCGAAGTAGAGCCAGTCCCGAGCCTCCTCTGGGTCCAGATCGTGGTAGTAGTCGCGAGCTGTGTAGCCAAAGCTGTGAAAGGCGCCGTCTGGGGTCAGCAGCAGACAGGTTGGGGTCTTTTGGTGGGCTACGCCTGGGTCTCCGCCCTCCCATTTCCTGAGGAGGTATAGGTCAGGATTAGCCTCAGCCTTCCCTTCATGAGGTAGGAGGGAGGCTGGGTGATGTTGGGCAGGTCGCTTAGCCCCCCTGAACCTCAGTCTTCCCATCTGTAAAGTGGAAATAATGGTACCTACCTCTTAGGGTTCTTGTGAAGAACAAATGTCGGAACATGGTGCCTGGCATTCACTTCTATCTTTATCAATGCTGCCCGCGGATCTTCCCCTTCCATGGAGCACAGGTCTCACTCAGCTTCTGCCCCATGCCACGAAGTCCATCACTTGGCGTCGTGCCTCTGCACCCACAGCAGCAGCAAACCGTCGTCCATCTTCCCTAGCCCAGCCTCTTGACGCGCTTCTCCCAGACCCTAGCAGCAGCTTTTCCTTCTCCTGGCCGCTTCCACAGCCCAGCTCTTTCAAGGCCTTTCATGACCAATCCCATCACCTCTGTTGTTGTTGTTGTTATGTGCTGTGGAGTTGGACCTGACTCATAGCGACCCCTCCCTCTAGCAGGCCCCAAAAACCTAAATGAGATTCTGAACCTCCCTGTCTGCAAGTGCCATCTGGACCTCTACCCAGAACTCCCTGTCCAGTTTGTTAGCCTGGCAAACCTTCCCTCCCCTTCCTCTTCCTTCTCTGATGCCCCAACTTCTCTTGGCTGAGCCTGAGGGAGGTCCAGGTTCACTGAGCAGCCTTTTGATGAAAGCAGGTAATACAGGCAGAGGGAACAGCATGTGTGAAAGGGATAATAAATTGGCTCAACATGCAGCAGGAGAAAACGCAAGGATGCTAAGGTCAGATAATGAACAACATTGGATGTCGTGTCAAAGGTCTATCTTGGTTACAGTGGCTAGTATATAAGGTATTTGATAAGTATTTTATTGACAAAAAAAAGTCTATCTTGGTGTATTTTAAGTAGGGAAGTGAGGAGGCATGATTGGATTTGCCTTTCAAAAGATTATTACTAGCCCCATGTAGCAAGACTGGAGGCAAGGGAGAACGGAGAAGGTAAACCTGGAAGTAAGTTTCTGTAACTGTGTAGATGAGAGAGGGGGAGACTGAGCGAAGGCAGGGGTGGTGGCTGGAAAGATATGGACGGGTATGCCAGAAACATTAGGGAGACACAGAAATGATGGGGCTTGGTGGCTGATGGGGGTGGGAGGGGAGGTCTTGGGAGGAGGCCATTTACCCCTGTGACTGTCACACCACAGGACAGAGGTAGTGTTCCTTCCTATGTCCTTGGGCCCAGCATAGAGCTGAGTACACAGGCGTGCTCAGCCGTCTGTGCTGAGGAGTGTGCCAGCTGGGATGCCCTGCAGCTCCTAGAGGGATGGAAGTGCCCAGTTCCCTGTGGATGTGGAGTAGTAAAGAACAAGAAAGGGGAGTCCAAGTTCAGGCAGCTCAAGTCCCTTTTAGCTTTCATGCAGTGACTTTTCTGTCCATCTCTCCATCTACCCTTCCATCCAGTCTCTCAGGCCCTGTGGGAACTCTCCTATATCCCTCATCTCAGTCTGGGTTGGAGGCTTTGGGGTCTTCTGCTATAGCTCTACCTACTGGCTAATGCCCCAACTAAACCAACCAAAACCAAACTCACTGCCATCAAGTTGGATCTGGCTCATAGCGACCCCTCCTTGGGTTTCTGAGGCAGTATCACTACAGAAGTAGATTGCCCCATCTTCCTTCTGAGGAGTAGCTGGTGGGTTTGAACTGCCAGCCTTCCGGTTAGCAGTCAAATGCCTTATGCACTATGCCACCAGAGGGTCAGGGCCTCAAGGCCCTGTGGTTTTCAAACAAAGCCCAGCAACATCAGAATGGATTTTTCAAACAACTCTTTCATCAAAATTGTGCAACTTCTCAACTCAATTTACCATCTGGACCTTCATTTCCTTGTTTTTCATTTGAAATTTTTAAAAAAGATAATACTTTATTGTATTCTCAGTGAAAGTTTACATAGCAAATTGTCTCATTTGACAATTTCTATACAAATTGTTCAGTGACGATAGTTAAAACCTTACACAGTGTGTCAGCATTCTTTCTAATTAGGTTCTGGTTGTTGTCTTTCCAGTGCTCTAGCTTCCCTGCCCTCTTATCTCATCTTTATTTTACTGTGATTGTTGACATTTTGATCTCATATAGATGGTTTTTTTTTTTTTTTTTTTTTTACTGGAGCACTGTGCTCATGGCTTGTTGTTGTTGTTGTCATATGCTGTCGAGTTGGACCTGACTCATAGCAACCCCTCCGTGGGTTTCCGAGGCAGTATCACTATGGATGTAGATTGCCCCATCTTCCTTTATTCCCTTTATTTTGTGTGCCAATCTGTTATTTCACTAAAAGGTGACTTTAAGGGATAGTTTTGGTTCAAGGTTTAAAGAATATCTCATGGTGATAGTCTCAGGGAGTCCTACAGACTCAAATAGTCCAGTAAGTCTGGGCTTTTCAAGAATTTGAGTTCTTTGGAGGACATTATGCTGAGCGAAATAAGTCAGTCACAAAAGGACAAATATTGTATTAGTCCGTTATTGTAAAAGTTAAGGAAAGGTTTATCTATTGGAGGACATTTTCTTTGTTGGTTACCAGGGGTGGGAGGGGAGGGGAGGGAATGAAAAAAAAAAAAAGAATTTGAGTTCTGTTCTACATTTTTCTCACATTCTGTCAGGGTCCATCTAGTGTGGCCCTGATCAGAATGGTCAGTAGCGATAGCTGGGCACCATCTAGTTCTTCTGGTCTCAGGGTTGATAAGGTCATGGCTTGTGTGGGCTGTTAGACCTGTAGATTAGTTTCTTCTCCAAGACTTTGGTGTCCTTCTTTTTCTTTTGCTCTGGATGAGTAGAGCGCAATAGTTGTATCTTTGATGGCTGCTTACAAATTTGTAGGACCCCAGACAGTACTCACCTCACTAGGGTGTAGAACGTGAACATTGTGGACCTAAGCCTTCAAACCTAGAAAACCATTCTTACAAAGTGTTTGGTTATGTCTGAGAAGTCATTTGACATATTGATAGAAGGATTCACCTCTAGGAATCTATCTGTAGAAATCCTAGCACAAGTCTTCAAAGAAGGATAGTCCTGTAGCACTTTTTTTACATGACCAAAGTAGGTGAGATGAAGTCTTGCCATTCTCCCTTCCAGAGAGCATTCCATCTGCCTGTCTTCCAGGACAGACTTGCTTAGTTCTTCTGACAGTCCATGGAGGTTTCAGTATTCTTCACCAATACCACAACTCAAAAGCATCAACTCTTCTTCAGTCTTCCTTATTCATTGTCCAGCTTTCACATGCACATGAGGTTTTCACTGGCCAATTCTTTGAGAAGTGGATGGCCCCTTCCTTCTTCCAAGTCTGTCTTAGTCTGGAAGCTCTACTGAAACCTGTCTACCATGGGTGACCCTACTGGCATTTGAAATATCGGTGCCATAGCCTCCAGCCTCACAGCAACACACAAGCCACCACAGTAGGACAAACTGACGAGTGACAAACTACACAGCTGTTAAACAAAGTGGTAGCTTAGCTCTGTTGACATGAAACATCTACAAGATAGTGTGGAAAGTTTAAGATAAAGCAAATTGTATGGTATACCACTTTTATTTTTTAAATATATATATACATATATGTGTGTATATTTGTATAAGCCCCCCAAAAGTTATGTATTTTACTGTATATTTATTATATCTCAATAACATTTTCTCAAGAAATTAGAAACAAAGCTCAACATTTCCTGCAGAGAACAGGGAGCATCAAATTGATGCAAATGCATCAAGGATCCCTGGACTTGGGATACAAACGGCTCTGAGGACACCCCCATGCCTTCTCAGTGACAGTATTTCTGGGACCAGCAACCCCCACCAAAAAAAAAAAAAATCTCCCAGCCCAGCTGCCCTCACCTCATCATGTGGATGGCCTCAGGGTCACTGGCAAAGCTGAAGGCATAGCCACTGGATGTGGTGCCAAAGTCAATGGCCACCACCACAGAGAAGAGGGCCTGCTGTGGGGCTCGGGCCTCGGGCTTCTGCAATGGCAGGACCTAGAGTAAGCAAGCAGCCAGCAGGGCTGGACTGACTGCCCTTGGGTGCCCCTCCTCTCCACTGACTGGGCCCAATCCAGTTCTGGCCTACCCTTGCTTACCCACTTGCCTGGGCTCCCTCCCCTCCCAGCTCTAGGCTGAACCCTAGAGATACCAACTGCTCATAAAACCCCAAGAGCTCTCAGGTAGCCATGTGTGTTTTTGGCTCAAGTTCTTGCTTTTCTGCCTCCACGTATCTGCATACACTCTAGCTCCTGCCTGGACTGCCTTCACGCCACCTCCATCTCCCACCATCTTCCAGCCTGCCACCAGTCTGGGCCCAGCTGGGAGCAATTTTGCCTTTGGGCAGCTTTATAGCTCATGGGTCGATGTAGCTCTCACCCTCTTGTTCTTGTGGCCACAGTGACACAAACCAGACTCTGGACAATTTTGTGGCAGAGAGATGACTCATGCCCATGCCCAGAGTGGCCCTTGACTTCTCCCAGGCCAGGCTTGGGCTCCCTGAGAACAGAGGGTCCCTAAGTTGGATCATCAGGGTGATGAGGTGACTCAGGGCGCTTGCGTGGGGGTTGTGTCTTAGATCTTCTAGCTACAAGGTTCCAAACTGTTGGAATTAAGGTAGGGATATGGTGTATGGGGGTGGGGCAGGGGTACTCTGAGAGGCCCAGTGCTCTGAGGACCTGGAAACATCTCATGGTCCCCAGTGGTGTCCCTAGGTGTTACCTGGGGCTCACCTGCTCAGTAGAATTGTTACGCTTACAGTCTAAGGTTGTCCAAGGCCACTCCTGCTGGAGGGACCATGGTTGGAGTGTGTGTGAGCAGGAGACATAGTGCCCACCCCCCTGCCAGGCATGAGGTCTTGATCTATGGAGATGCAACACCCTTCTACGTCCCCTGGGGCCACCCACCACCCAATCCCTGTGAAGGCTTACTGGAGACTGTGATGGTGTGAGGGGGGCAATGCCGCAGCTTTCCTGGGTCCTTGGGGAGCCGGGTGGGCTGGGTACTGGAGATCGCTCTGGACTGGAGCCTAAAGAGAAGAGAGGGCAGGTCACCCTGGCACCATCAGGGCAGGGGGCTGGTGGCCCTGCTCCAGCCCTGGCACTGGGAAGTTCTCCATCAGATCCTGCTGGCCCAAGGCAAGGGGTGCCTTGCTGGGGGAGGGGACTAAAGGGGAAGGTAGGAAGGACATAATGGGGGATGGGGTTGGGGTGAGGGCCTATGTGACAGCTGGGACCTTAGATCCCAGCTTGAGTGTTGGCCCCATAAAGGTGCTGACAACCCTACTGGGCAAAGTGTTTTTTTGGGAATTAAAGGCCTTGTCAGGGGAGTGCCTGGTCGACTGTGGGTTGCATAAATGGGTTTGGGGCCTGTTATCAGTTAGAGGCATCTATCCCTGGAGGGTGATGAAAGCTTCACCTGGGGGCTTCCTTGTTTTCCCCCAGCACCCTCAGACTCACAGGGTAGGGGGAGAAAGACAGAGAAGCACTGTGATGGGGAGACTGAGTCCCAAGACAAAAGGCAGGAGAGATGGGACAGGTGAGTGCCTAGGGGTGGGGATAGGTGGAGGGTGGAGAAGCCAGAAAAGGTGGGAGAACTGCACCTAACTGGGTGGGGGGTGGGACTGCTGGGCCAGAGATGGGGTTACTTCCCTCCCCCCTAAAGTCTGGCCACATGGTTCCAATCAGGACTTGAGGGAGCTGCCCTCTTCCCTCTCTCCTTGCAAAGGCCACAGACAGGCCCAGCTGGCTGCTTGGGAAGGACAAAGAAGGGGAGGGCAGCACCTCCCCCACCCCAGATCTGAGTTGGGGAATGCCTCCTACCCTACTGAGACCCTCTTATACCTTTGGTAGGGAGGATGTTAAGCAGCTCCTGGAAGGCAGCCCTGGGCCTGGCTTGGAAGCCTCGCAGGTCAAGGGGCAGGAGGCTGGCTAGATGTCCCCCAGGTGTGGGCTGATGGCCCGTCCCATCCCATTAAGCTTTGTAATGGCCCATGGAAGGGGCTCTAGAGCTGTGCAGAGATCTGTGGAGGGGGCCTGAGAGGCTGGCCAGGGAGGCTGAGATGGGACTAGATGAAGGTCCTTGGATAGATCAAGCAGTCTTGGGGTCCTAGAGAGATCCCAACCCTTCCTGATCTTGGAGTGCCCTGGGAATATATATGAGGAGGGGCTGGGCATAAAGAGAATTCTGGAAAGTTCCTAGACAGGGGTGGAGTCTATCTTGAGGTACCAGGGGGGTAGGAACATGGTGGTCACATTCCAAGGTTGACCCTTCTTCAGGCAGCCAGCAGCCACTAGCTCCAGCTTGAGGGGCCAAGTTGCTGTGGTTTAAGCCTGGGAAGGGAGGCAGGAAGGAAGGGCCCAGCCCACCAGGTCTTTGTGAATGGACTTCCTGAGGCGTGTCCCTCCTGTCTCCCACTCCTGCTGAGAACCCAGAGCCTACTCCCAGACCAGGCATAGGCAGATGCGCATGGGCTCACACACAATTCTGGGCCCAAAGACCCCCCTGCAGATATATATACTCTCAAACAAGGCCTTGTACACAGAGATCTATCCTCAGGCAAAGAAACAAACAGATAATACATACATACACACACACATACTTACACAAGGTCCTGTGTACACAGACCTTACACAAAACATACTCACAGAAATACATAGTTCTGTGCATACAAATCCTCTTTGCACACACGTACACATACCCTGTCACACACAGGGAGTTTTGTGAACACAGACCTGCCTTGAGCAGGCATATACACACACATTCACATACCCAGTACTGTGTACATAGACTGTGGACACACATATTCATATACATGCATTGGGTAACACAGACCTGCCCTGTGCACACACACATACACAGTCGTGTGCACTCAACCTCCCTGCACTCATACACTCAGAATGATTCTTCTGACCTCTGCCAGGAGAGGCTTGTGGAGACACACTGGGGGTTGGGTTTCAGTGCCCAGCAGGAGAGTGGGGTGGTGGGTCAGGGCAGAGCAGCAGGGGGTCTTACCAATGTACAGCCCCTGCAGGCCCGTCTCTGGGACAGCCAGCATCCTTGCAGGCCCCGTAGCTGTGAACAGGAACCGACAGACGGTATTTATTTCTTCCTTTGTTCCCTCCCTGAATGTTTATTTATTGTATTTATTTACTTCTGACTGGAGTCCTTAGAAGCAAATCCCAGACACCATGTTGTTTCACCTATAAAGTCTTCAATATGATCTCCAACAGATGAAGGCTTTAAAAAAAACAAAACAAAACATTACCACAATAGCACTATCATGTCTAAGGAAGTTAACAGTAACTCCTTCATGCCATCTAATGCTCAGCCCCCCTGGAGAGACACAGTCTGGCTGGGGAGGCCAGTCATAACCAGATAACCATGAGAGTGAATTTAAGATTATAAACAATGCTGAGGGCTGAGGAGGGGGAAGGGCACAGTGGCATGAAAGGGGTCGGGGGTAGAGGGGAGCCTGGCCTGAGTAAGGCTGCAGGAAAGAGTGGGTTGGGGGCAACACTGCAGGCAGGCCCTTGGGACCAACCCTATTTTAGATGTGGTTTTATATGAAGGGTCATAGCAAAACTTGAAAGTGTTTAAGTGGCACAGTAGAGATAGGGGCATGACTAAATTTGCACACGAGAGGACTGCAGTGGGAGCACTACGGCAATGGGCCCAGGCAGGCCACTGGGGTCATCTGTGCACAATGAATGAAATGCTGCCCAGTCCTGCACTGATTTTTGGAAGCAGACTGTCAGGCCTTTCTTCCTCGGCCATTTTAGTATAGAAGCTCCACTGAAATCTGTTTAGAATCACAGGAACAGCCAGGCCTCCACTGATAGACAGGGGGTGGCTGTATATGAAGTGCATTGGGTGAGATGGAACCCACGGCTCCTGCATGGAAGGTGAGAATTGTACCCTTGAACCACCAAGACATAATCAGAAGTTAAAACACCAGGGCTGATGGAAGGTGGCTGGATTTGGCATGGTGGGTTAGGAAGATGAGTGTTAAAGTTTACACTATTCAGCTCAAGCTACAAAATGGATGGGGAGATGGCAGGGGGGAGGGTGGAGTTTTGGATGTGCCTTTGATACTGCTAAGAAAACATACTAAGTAGCGAGATGACATATGATTTCAAGGTCAGGGAAAAATCTGAGTTGGAGATGTGCATTTGGGAGTCATTGTCATGGGAGACTGAGGAGAGAGAAAAGTGGGGAAAGACAGAGGAGCAGAACCTATGCATAAAGGCTGACAAGAGGAGGATGGATTGGTCAAAAAGATTAAGATGCCTCCTTGGGCTATACAAAGGTCAAGGCAAGAGAATGGTGTGAAGCTAGATGTCTTTCACAGGTCAAGTTAGGTAATACTGGAGACACCTATTGTTTTCTTGGCCCAAGGTCAGCATTGCTGTGGAATGGTGGAGATGGGGTGGTAGGTAGGTAAGGAGTGAGTGGGGGTGAGAGAACAGAGCTAGCACTTTTGAGAAGCCTGGCTGAGACCAGGACCAGATATGAAGGCAGTAGCTGGAGGGAGATAGAGCTTGATGGAAGTGAGGAAGGGTTTGTATTTTATCTTCTAAGATGGGAAGACTTTTTTATTTTATTTATTTAATTTTAAGAGCTTGTTTTACATTCAATGTAATGCGTACATTTAATTTCATTCCCCATTCGCCATGTCCAACTCTAACCCAGGCTTCTCCCCTCCCTACCCTGTAACCCTCCCCCTGTGCCCCTCATAGTTAAGCACTCCTGTTTGTCCTGCATTTCCTCAGTTTGAATGTTGGTCCTCTGGTGTCCCATGGTCTATTGCTCTAAGGGATATATTACCATAGAGTATGTGGGTGCGTCATAAGATGGGAAGAACTTGAACTTGTGTCTTTGTATTTCTGAGAGACAGGCTTTAGGTGGCATCCCCCAAGCCTTCACAGCTTTATTATCAAAGTGTAGTCTCAGGATCAGCAGCCCTGGTATCACCTGGTAGCTTATTAGAAAAGCCGCATCCCTGACCCGAATCAGAATTTGTAGATTAACAGGATCCCTGCATGATTCAGGTGTACACATTAAAATTTCATAAGTGCTACTCAACTGTATACAAGGGGCTGAACTTCAGATCACTCGTGCTATTGATCTCAGCTGTGGGCCTGGCTGCCCCCCGAGTGGAGGTGTGGGTTGCCTATTCTCTCTCTATAGCCAGTGGCCTGATCAGGGAACTGTGCAAACAGAACATAGACAGATACAGAGCTGGACACTGGCACACCCACAAACACACATGCACACACCCTCATTCACGCAGAGGTCACACAAAACCAGCCCCAGGGTAAATAGACACCCAGACTCCCACACACTCTTGTATGTCCAGGATGCCCCTGCATGATCAGCACTATGGAAATTTCCAGATCCATGCAGTCCTGTTGTCATTGGAGAGACACAGTTGGATGCCCAGAAATCAGACTCCTGGGTAAGATAGAGGCTCATTTTGAGAAGTCATATAGCAGTGGGGTGATGCTGAGAAAAGGGAAAGCAAATAGAGGGGGTAGGGATGGATCTTGGGAGCCAGGGACAGGAACCCAAAGCCTTTTGAGAGTGGATCTGTGCATCTCTTCCCAATTTTGCATTCAGTGATATCACACTGTTAGCTTGAAATTGCCATGGTAGGAGTATTTACACCATGGAAATTGGCAAACACTACGGATCAGGCTGTTTTCCCTTCTGAAGTTTCGATTGAAAACATTTACCAGCATACCACTCACTGGATTGAGGCTACCAGGGAGGATCTGGCAGCCCTATTTGTACTTTGTTTAAATTCTCCAGCAAACATTTATTGAGAATTTCTTTGTGCCAGACTCTGTGCTAAGTGCTGGGGAAATACTTTGCAGGATGAATGAACAGGTTTTCCAGATCAAGGCTACTGTACCAGAGGAGATACTCTTGTATGTCCAGGATACAGTCTTGAAGCATTATAAAAATGACTTTGGAGTTGTCACTCTGAGCTGGATTCCATGTCCAAACCGTGTGCCATATCTGGGCATATGATATACTGAGTGCCCCTACAATGGGACCTCAGAGATGGCAAAGGCTTGTTATGGCACCTGGCTTGAGTGTATGATGTCATCTCTATGTGCCTCAGTGCCCCTTCCTATAAAATGGGTCAGTGGGTCTTATGAGGACCAACAAGCCCAACTAAAGAAGATGGCTGATAAAGACAGGAAGTTGTACAGATGTGAGTAGGTTCTTCCCTTTATGGTATGGGTCTTGTATCATCTCTTGTTGGAAGTTTTTAGTAACTTAGTGTTATCTTGAGTTGTTCAGGAAGGGAGATAAGAACTGAACCCATTTGTGTTAAAGAAGGATCTTGCTGATTCCTTGAGGGTGGAGGTAGAGGCGGGTAGCAATCACACAAACATGCATACACAGCTGCACGTCCTCGGGACGCCCCCTACACACTCACAGACATTCAAGGAGAATGCTGACGGGATTCAGGACAACATCAGCTCCCAAAAGTTAGGTTTGGACAGAGTCTAGGAATGGAAATGAGGGGAGGGGGCAGAGCCCCATCCTAGGGAATCACTTATTTCAGGACTAGTCATGGTTAAGAGTTTGAGAATTCAGTGGGAAAGTTTGCTTCATACACAGAAAGTAGGCCTCAGCCTGACCCATATCCTTCTCATAGACAGATCCTCTAATCCTGCCCCTGCACTGACCCTAACACTGCTCATGGGTTGGTCTCATACTGTTCATGGACTGGTCCTCAACCCTTGGTCTCATTGTTGTTGTTGTTATGTGCCGTCAAGTCAGCCCAACTCATAGCAACCCCTCCTTGTGTTGCCAAGGCAGTATCACTATGGAAGTAGATTGCCCAACCTTCCTTCCGAGGAGTGGCTGGTGGGTTTGAACTGCCAGCCTTCTGGTTAGCAGTCAAGTGCCTTAGACACTCTAATCTTCAGCTTCCCCTGATCTCTGGCCCTTTCATTCAATAGATCAATCATAGAGGACCAGGACAGAGTGTGGCTGAGTCAGGACTCACAAATGAAGACCCTCATCTCAGAGAGCCCCCTAGACTCACAAAGGCCTAGGACGTTTTGCCTGATGAAAAGTATCCTGTGAGAGTTTCTTTCTGGGGTGCGGGCATTGAAGCTGAGTACTTAGGCCCCCCGGAACATTGAGGGTAAGTGGTGTTTCTGGGCTTCAGATCTCTGCACATGCCCATGAGGACAGAGAGCCCAGCCAGAAATTTACAACTATCATCTCCCCCTTTGCAGGCTTCCTTTCTTGTGGGTTCCTGCCCATCCCATCTACTGGTCTCCGCTCAGCATCCTGCCAGCCCTTCAATGGAATAGGACTCCATCAGCAGGCAAAATGAGGCCACAGGCATTTCTTCCAGAGCCGCAGATTGGGCCAACTAAGGCTCAAGCAACAGATCAGTAATGGCACCAAGGGCTGCGCCACCTTCTCTCTGGAGAGGCATCCTCAAGGAGAGGGGACCAACAGGCAGGAGGCTGGAGTGGGGAGACTGCCTCTTCCTGTGCCAGGCTAGGGGGTGACAGAAATGGCCTCCTATGGCCCCTCCCTGTCCTCAACTTTCCTTTCCATACATCCTGTTCCACCCCCTTGGGTTCTCATCATGGGAGCGGCCAGTCCAGTTCATAAACAATCTTTGTCCTCCATGGGCAGTGCTGTGGAGTCCCTCCCACCCTTTGCCCACAGGACCCCGTTACCTCCCTCAGGTCCTGGCTGCTGTGCTGGGGGCTTGCTCTCCCAAGGAGTCCATATTTTAAAGCTCCCTCTCTCCCATTCTCTGTCACACACAAGCTTGCTTACATGGAGCAGCTCCACTGCCCCCAGGGGAGCAGAGACTCCACTCCACCTAGATCCCAAATTGGCCCCACAGAGAGAAACCAGAGGCCCAGGCAGGAGACCAGACCACCCCTGGAGACCCTGATCCCTCCTCTCTTGCACTTCCCAGACCACAGGCAGCCCCTGAATTCCCCCACCCTAATCCTCAGGTCACCACCTCAGGCCTAGGTACCCTTCCCTTCACAAACTGCCTCCGCAGAGCTGCCCTCAGCCCAGTCAGCTGTCCTGACAGCCCCAAAGGCACAGGAGTCTCTCTGGCCTCCAACGCTGTGCCGAACGTGTGTGGGGTTCCAAAGTCCGGATGGGAGCCACTGTCACCGCCCCTCACTGCTTTCCTGAGTCTGTAGCCCCGTTGGAGAGCGGGCCTTACATATCTGACCCCACCCGGCCCCTCGGAATCAGGAAAGCTTTGGTGAAGTTTTAACCGACAGCCCAAGAGGGCAACTCCCAGCCTCTCTCCTTCCAGGGAGCTCAGCTGGGTCGAGATCCTCCGGCCCAGAACTCACCTCCTCTATCCACAGCTCGCCTCTGTCCAGCTGCTTCGATCCTGGGCCGCAGCCCTAGACGTGCGCCCAGCCCAGCGGTCCCCCGGCTCCGCGCAGCCCCCGCCCCTTCCCCAGTCCGGATGGCCACGCCGGCTGCGCCGCGGGGTCGGCCCGCGCTCCCGGCCCAGATGTGCGAGGCTGGGGCGGGGCCTGCCTGCTCGGGCCTCGCTGAGGGGCCCAGCCCGCCTGTCCTGCGCCCCTCCCTGCGCCCCCCCCCCCCGCGCCTCCCGGCCTGCGGTGCCTCCCGTGTTCAGGGAGCAGCCCGGGATGGGGGTGGGGGAGCCAGGGTGAGGAGGGGAGGTGGAGGGAAGCAAGAGGAATTCCAGACCCCTGGGCGGCCTCCTACGGCCCAGCTGCGGAGGGGCTCCCCCGCCCCGCCCCAACAGGCCCACCTTGGGGCTCGGCCCAGGCCAGCCCATTTGTGAGGGCCTAGCCTGGAGAGACACAGCCTGCTGGCTTAGACCCCTCACAGTCCCAGGTCCAGATGCCTCCCCCTCTCAGCCCTCTGCCCCAGCAGTTTCCCTGGCGTGGTCTTCTGACAGAATTGGTGACATTTGGGCCAACGAGGGGAAGGATTCTCATAGGCTGGGGCCCCTCTCCTTGCAAGGGGATCTCTTGAACCCATCCTGCCTCTGTAGACGGAGTACCCACCCCCTTTCCTGTGGGGGCTTGAAGCCTCCTTGCAGGCCTAGTCTGGGCTTTTTAGGTATGCTGGAACGTGGCCTCCAATTAGGTTTGCCAGCTTGGAAATGAGGTACGCCCCCCCAACCCTCCCCAAATCCTCTAGGCCCCTCGTGGAGCTTCCTGGGGCATCTGACCTCTCCCTCGCCTTTCGCCTGTTCAGGCAGGGCCTAGTTCCATCTCCACAGAGTTCCAGCCCCTCCCTCTGCCCACTGTGCCCCCACAGAGACTCAGGCTGGTGGGGGAGGGGGGATAAAGACTGTTTCCCAGTCTGAATCTCTGTGTTGGGGAGGCTATCCTCCTGTCTAGCCCCTACCCCACCTCTACCAGATAAAGCCCCATGTTCCTTGAGCTTCACATTTGCCCTTAACATTTTTTTCAAGGAGCGATCTCCCTCCCTAAAATGCTTTCCCTCCATCTTTCTGCCAATCCCAAAGGCTCTCCAGCTAAAGTGTCACCTCCCTCATTGTTGAGGTCACTGTCCCAGAAGGCTCTGCAAAGAGATGGGGAAGGGGCTACTGCACCAGACAATTCTGGATGTAGGTGCCTGATCAGAAAGCCAGAAAGACATCCAAACAGCAGTCTCCATTAGGCTGGCTCCAAGTGTGTGTGTGTGTGTGTGTGTGTGAGTGTTTGCATCTGTTAGTGTGTCATCTCTGTGTGCGTATCTCTATGTGTATCTGTAAGCCTGCAAGTTTGTAAGGCTGTGTGTGTGTCTCTTGTAGGATCTGTATGTCTGTGTATGAACTACATATGTGTGTCACTGTGCCTTTGGGTGTCTGTGTAGATGTATGTCTGTATTTATTTCTCTGAGTGTGGACAGGAGTCTTTTGATAGGGGCCAGCAGGCCTCGATCTCATTCCAGAGGTTGAAAAAGCCAAGAACTGAAGTGTGCCTGTATGCAAATATATGGGGAGGTGTTATGGATTGAATAGTGACCTGCCAAAATATGCATTGAAATTCTAACCTCTATGCCTATAAATGTGACCTGTTAATGAAGTCCTGGTGGTGCAGTAGTTAAGTGCTCAGCTGCTAACTGAAAGGTCAGTGGTTTAAACCCACCAGCCACTCCCTGGGAAAAAGGTCTAGCATCTGCTTCTGTAAAGATTTACAGGCTTGGAAACTCTATGGGGAAGTTCTACTCACTCCTACAGGGTGTCTATGAGTTTGGAAATAGGATTTTCTTTGTTATGGTAATGAGGCCATATCAGAGTAGACCAAAAACCCAAACTCACTGCAATCGATTTGATTCTGACTCATAGCAACCCCCATTGAGTTTCCATGGCTGTAAATCTTTTGGAAGTAGGTCCCCCATCTTCCTTTCACAGAGCAGCTGGTGGGCTTGAACTGCTGACCTTCTGATTAGCAGCCAAACGCCTTATCCACTATGCCACCAAGCTTGTTTATCAGAATAGAGTGGGTCCTAAACCTCATCACTTCTGAGTTACAAAAAGAGCAGAATAGACACAGAGACATACACAGCAGGAAGAAGCCATAAGAAGACACACCTACAAGCCCAGGAACTCCAAGGATTACTAGCTACTGTTGTTGTTGTTGTTGTTATGTGCCGTCGAGTCGGCCCCGACTCATAGCGACCCCTCCTTGGGTTTCCGAGGCAGTATCACTACGGAAGTAGGATTGCCCAACCTTCCTTCCGAGGAGTGGCTGGTGGAACCTGAAAAAGGAGCCCTGGTGGCACAATGGTTAAGCACTTGGTTGGTAACTGAAAGGTCAGTGGTTCAAACCCACACAGCCACTTCAAGGGAGAACGACCTGTCTATCTATTCCCATAGAGATTACAATCTAGGAAACACTATGGGGCAGTTCCACTCTGTCATATAGGGTTGCTTGAGGAATTGACTGTACAGCACACAACAACAGAACTTGAAATAGATAAAGAAGGACCTCCCCCAGAGCCATACCCTGAATTTGAACTTCAAGATTCCTGAACTGTGAGAAAAGAAATTTCAGTTCTTTAAAGCCACCCACTTGTGTTTTTTAACCCTGGGTAAGCAAAACATCTGCCTCTTATTTCTCTCTTTATCCTTTCTTCCTCTGGTTTTCCTCCATTTCCATCCCTGCTCTGCAAATTGGCTCCTAAGGCCATGGTGGTGGGCTCTGAGCAGCATTCCTAGCCCATAGTGCCTTCCTGCTTGGCAGCCTCTTGCCTCCCCACCTCCCTTCAGGCACCATCAGTTTGACAAGGAGCCACAGACCCCACCCTTGGGCAGCTTCCAACATGACACAGCAAATCATCCCAGTGAATCTCTGGTCTGTGTTCTAGGCAGTTGGATTCAAGAAGGTTTGGGTCTATGTGGACACAGAGGAGGGTCCTGTGGAGCCCATGCCCTTACTGTCCTCTCTGTGCCCTTGTACTTTCCTCCTGTGCCTCTCCCAGCCATTGTGGATCCACCCTCTGACCTCACCAGCTTCCTGCTTCTCCAGGGTGTGGTAGAGGAAGCAGGAGGAAGGGTCAGCTTCAAGTGTGTTCTCTCTAGGAGCAGCCTGTCTCTGAGCCAGACTTCACTTCTCTGGGCCTTTGCTTGGGATCTTCCCCTTCCAATTCATCTCTATCATGCAACTGGAGGAGACTGTCAAAAGTGTAAATCTGGCCTGGTCACTTCATCACTCCTACGCTCTCTATGGCTCCCTATTACCTACAGGACAGGATCCAAGTGATTTAAAGCCTCAAATCCCCTTAGCTGACCTCTCACACTCCCTGGCCAGCCCTAACCGCCAAACCTGGAGGATCCTGCCCTGGGGACACCTGAGTCCTGTGCTTTGGGCCAGCCCCTGCCCCTGCTCATCAGCATCCTTCCCTCCAGGACAAACTGGTGACTTGTATGCTATTGTGAAGGCTGTGTCTGCCCAGAGAGCCTGGGCCCTGATCACCACCACTGGGTCTTTAGGAAGACTCTGTGTTTGGAACTCAGGAACAGAGCTTCCCTTTCCCAGTGCCCCCTGGTAGACCAGAGGTGTTTTTAGGGCAGAGGGTAAAGTTTTCTTTGTTGTTGTTGTTGTTAAGTGCCGTCGAGTTGGCCCCAACTCATAGCGACCCCTCCTTGGGTTTCTGAGGCAGTATCACTACGGAAGTAGGATTGCCCAACCTTCCTTCCGAGGAGTGGCTGGTGGATTTGAACCGCCAGCCTTCTGGTTAGCAGTCAAGTGCTTTAGCCACTATGCTACCAGAGCTCCTAAAGTTTTCTTTAGGACATGTTATCTCCCTACCTAGACCTGTGTGTGCCAGAGGGCTGAGGTGAGAACATCTCAAGTGTCTTCCCTCCCTTGGCCCAAGGCTTTGTCTGTTCCAGAACTTGAGGCAGACACAAACACACAAAAAACCCATGGCAAGGTCAGGTGCCTCCATGACCTGCCTAGGGAGAGAAGGGTTCCACCAGGAACCTATTGACTGGACCTCACAGTCCAGTGGTACTTTGCTGAGTACCTATTGGGCCACTTTGGTTACCCACACCAGACAGTGGGAGGGAAGGATTATTCATCCCCTCTCTGGAAATGAAAACTCTGAGGATTAGAGAGGACAGGGCACTGCCCAATTCAGGCCCAGAAGGCTGCCCCAGCACCTGGGCGCTTGCCAGTGCCGTATGTTAGGTTGTGATGGAGAGGATGGTATCTGAGCACCTTGAGGCAGTCCCTCTGGATGGCTGCCCAGCCTCATCTGTCCCTTCTTGGGGACTGGAGGTTGCTTGCTTCTGGACAGATGTCTTCAGGCTGTGGAGGGCTTATGTTTGGCCACCAGATTCCTGAGGTACAAGCTTCCTTCCAGGAATTACTCTGCCTGCCCCACCCAGCTGAACTTCCTCTTTGTGGCCTATGGCCTCGGCTGCCTCATTTTCCTCATTGGAAATGGGAATGTGGAGGTCCAGCCACACTCCGGCTGCCAGCAGGAACTCAGTGGCCAGGAGTTCAAGGCTCAGCCGTGGTGGCAGTCTGTCTCCATTGCTGCATGGGTAGCCAGCATCTCCTCCATCATAAAACAGATGTCCTGGGACCCCACCTTCCTGCTGAGCTTCCTCCAAGCCTACCTCAGAGGACACGCAAAGCACCAGGATGGGACTCATCTCCCAGAATTCTGTACCAACACCCTTTTCTCCTTGCAGCTCCTTGCCCCAGCGTGTGAGCTTCTCTCCAGCAGAGGCATCAGGAACCTGCTTGAAGGTGCTGGCTCCTGCTCTGAATTCTGATGGATGACTGAAAATAAAGCAGACAGAGGAGTGGGGAAGGGCATGCCAGGTGGAGGGAACAGTGCAGACAAAGGAGAGTAGAGTGAGCATGAGGCAGATGGAACTTGGAAGCCAGTTCTGGTGCTTC